CCTGTAAACCGAAGGGACCTCGTGGGTCTCTGAGTAAACTGGCATTGTACAGAGAGCCAATGTGATATTATTCAATGCATAAACCAATCAAACTCTTAAAAACTGTTTTTGTTCTATTCTGCTACTTTTTTTTCTACTCCCTTTGTTCCAGTGCTTAGAAACAGTGTTTCATTTGGCCCTTCTCAGCCTGTGAGAGGCTCTTTGTTCCCTCCATCTCCTGTTAGTCCCGCTCTTTCAGGTCTCACTAAACATACAGCTCTAGACTGTGGATGAGCAAGGATATAGACAGTATTCTGGGTGAGGTGTTGTCAGTGTCTTTGGATAATGGCAATAGTGCCTTCACCTCTGCACTGCAGATACCTTGGCATTTATCCTAACAGCACTAGGTGGGAGATCCCATTGCCCTTTTCCTGACTGTTGCATACCGATGGCTTGGTTATCTGATAATTGATACGCCTAGATTTGTTTCTACTGGATGAGCTTTCAGTTATTTAAGAGTGATAATTTTTCTTCTAAGAGCATGATGGTACATTTTGTAATATTTACACTTAATTTATTTGATTTAACTTAACATCATTAAGCATATCATATGACAGTTTGAAACTATCTGTAAGTGTAATAACTTTTTATACGTATAATTCATTTTGCAAACCATGAATTTTGTTATTTAACAGAAGATAATGAAAACATTAGAGTAAGTTCTGAGATCAGTCAGTAAAAAAGTTCACATAAGCTCATCTTTTGCAAGTTCTTACGCACTTAAATTACTGTGCCAACAATTTTTCTTCTAGTACTGTAGCAAATGCTTTGCAGTGAGCTAGATTGACTGGCTCCACTGTGCTTCCCTGTTCGGAAAATCAGTTATATTCTTGCAGAACACAGCAGTTCCTAGATCTCTCCTGTAGTCTTGCACATGATTGAAATGGGATACTAATGAAGGCAGACTTTTGAGAATGGTTTCACCATGCCTGAAATCTTTAGTCTTATTTCAGTAGTTTGAACTTTTTCTGAAGCTGCTTTTTGTTTCTGAAAGTCTTTCCTTAGTTTCTGTTGCACTCTGTATCCAGATGTATTGCAGGTTTGTCATGTTTTGTCTTCTAAAATTTGTTTTCTAGGTATGAACTGTGAGACAAATTACAACCTTGTTAATAAAAAAAAAAAACCTCTTTGTTTTTTATCCCACCATGCATTTCAGGCAGTAACATTTGATAAGTCCATCCATTGCCGTAGACTCCTTACCTTAGACCAGACCTGGGGCAGTGATGCCCATCTCAATGTCCTGATCCAAAACTTTGGTTTTGATTGAATCAGATTCTCTTCCATCAGTGCTGTTCCATAATGTTTGTATTCCCTGAACCACGTGTCTCCTTCAGGACTTGTGCTTCAGCCCTGGTTGTTACTCCACCAATTTCTTTTACTTAGTTTAACGTGCTGTATTAGTAGTTCTTTTCTCTAGTTAATTGCCCAGGTGTCTAGCTTGTTTTACTTATCATCGCTTGTTGCTGTTGTTCTCAGTGTCAGTATTTCTCATTTCCTGCCCGCTTCGTTCTCCTTTGGTTTACTACGACACTGCCCTTCTTTGCCACCTGTTTGGCTATAAGAAAAAATAATTTAAAGTATAAGGAAATCACGCTTGGTTGTGTTCCCTCAACATTTTTTTTTTGTTTGATTTGTGACAATATATAATTGCATCCAACCTTATAAGAGGCATTTTGGAAAACAAATTGTAATTTGGATCTCACCCACCACTGGATCAATATTCTTTCTGATTTGCTCATAAAATGTAATTGCTCAGATTCCATCCTAGCATGGTGCATTATGTTCAGCTGACTGCCAGATGCCAGGATGAGACTTGCTGCTCTGTAACTGTGGATCGGTCCTAGAAATCTGTTAAATACCAGAATGTTTGTCATCAGAAGGGCAGCTGCTTTTACTGTGAGACTGGCCATTTTTTTTTCTGAGCAGTTGCTTCAGCTGGATCTCATAGTTTTAGCAATGCATAGTAAATGAAATATACATACAAAAAACAGATACTGACCTGAATAAAAGTTAAGGTTACTGGGGAGATGTTGATTTGCAGTGTGGATAGTATAAGATTATAAGGATACTATTAAAATTACTTTTTCCACCTTATGCGTGGTCTAATATTTTTTTTTTTTTTCTCCCTTTAGTACTCTGATCTACAAGTTTGGAAGAACGGAAGAGTTATGGGGATGAGAGATCATGTTTAGCATTGTCTATTCCATAGTTGCTATGTCGTACTATGTATGTAGATATCTTTACATTTATTCTTGTTTTGCTTTCTAAATCGTATGAACTGAGACAAATTACAGTTTCTGTAATAAGCTCCCTCTTTTCACAGGACAGATTTGTGAATATGTACATATGACTGTATATATCTTAAAAAGGGAATGCCAGGCTTTCTTTCTGAAATCTTCAGGCTTTTCTCTTCAACTACATGGGTTTCCATCAACTCCTAAGACTTGATCTTCCAAACCTTCACATGTATCAGAGATTTCAGTGGAACTATTAGTGACCAAGCAGGATAAAGCCCGTACCCTGCGGAAGGGGTTATTACTTTTATGCATAGGTGAGCTAGAGCTGATTTTGTAAGGGCTGACAGCAAGGGCTGCCTGCGTAACCTGAAGGATTCGTCAGCACATGGAAGTGACCCAGCTAAGCCTGTATTTAATGAAGGTAAATTCTATTGTATGCTGAGATTAGAGCTGATTTAAAGAATTTTATATAACTGTTCAGAAAAATATAAAGTAGCTATTTTTTTTTTTGGTAAAATGTTATGAATTTTTAAACAAGGCCCTGTATTAAGCAGGTTCTGCATGGCAAATCAAACTGTTCTTGACTTCTGATTGCTATGGCACCAATGACATTTGGTAGCACCACAGTCTTTAGAATTAATCTTGTGCTGTTTAGTGTAATAGATACCAATTAGTATTTAATGTATTTACAGATATTAGAATAAAAAACAAACAAACAACAAACCAAACAGGTGCCAGTCATACTTAAGGAATATAAAGAACAAATGAGAGTCAGACTAGCGTTTTTAAAATTATGCTAGCATAATTTTCTTCAGGGGAAGCCTTTTGCTGATAAATGAACAGTTACCCTGCTACCCATTACCTCTTCTATTTAAAAAGTGAGCATTTCAAGTGGGGATATAGTAGATGTATTTATTGTTCACAGTCTTACCTTGAAATAATTGCCAGTTTTAGGACTGCCATTTGCCCCAGTTAAAATGTATTTATCTCCTAAATTCCACGGGCACTTTATGGGAATGCTTCCATTATTGAAATCCAGTTTCTTCTAGCTGGGGTATACAGAAAGAGAGAACAATGATGTTTTATAGTTTTGGACTGATCTTGTATATTCATCTTGCTGTTGGTGACTTCCTTATCTTGTAAGTTCTATGTGGTTTTTAAAGCATTTGATGAATCTACCTTGTGTCTTAAAAGCTTTTATAACTTCCCATGTATCAAGATTGCTGACCAAATGGTATTAAAACTGCAGAATGTAACTTCTGTGCATGGTTACTGTATACTGTTAGTCATCTAATTGCTCCCTTGTGGGAATCTTTCCAGTGGACAGAATATGAAGCAAATACTGCAGCTGAAATTGTGCTACTGGCTAGACTAACTTCACCCCAGTTTCACCATCCTGCAGTGAGTTACGATATATTCACTGGTGTTAATCACTGCTGTGTACATAAGTTGTCTTGTTGTAACTTCTGAAAACTGCAATAAACTTTCTCTTATGTTCTCAAAACAGTGAACTTCACACGGGAATTGTACAGTAGTACTCAGTAGCTCGAGTAGTACTGACCTTTAAGCAAGTCTTACACCAGCTAGTAAGTAAAGCCAAGGTTTTTGTTTTCAGGTCTGTCAGTTTCTTGCTGCAGAGCTTGGGAATGTTTGTTGGCCTTTTTACTAAGTGAGAAACAAGTGTAGCCTGTAACTAAACCTGTTTACAGTATCTTGCACCTGGCACTTGACCAGCACAAGCTTAGTCTTTGACTCTGGAAGAACTCTTACAGGAAGGTCCTGATTGAAAAACAGTTTTCTTAAGAGCAGGGCAAGAGCTTCTTTCTGAGGTTACCTACCTTTCCCACCAGAAGTTGCTTTCTTGCAAGTTTTTCTTGACCATCTCCTCTGGTTTTAGAGAATGGGAATGGTCATGCTCCCTCTACAGCTGCTAAGAGGAGGAAAGAGATGGCTTTGAGCATGTGTCTTTTCCAGGAGCCTAGGCTGAAAACAGGCGTAGTGTAAGAAAGAAGGAAGCACACAGGCCTCGTTCAGAATAGCCCGAGGCCCACTTCTGTACCACAGGTGGTTCCAGCGCAGGCCAAAGTGGGTAAGGATGGCTCATTTTAGGTAATGCCTGGGCCAGCTGCACTTAGCAGTTGTGAAGATAACCCTTGAGTTACTCCTAACAAAAGGTTTTTAACTTCAGCCTAGTTGTGGAACTATAAAATTATTTAGTAACAACTCTAACAAACAGAAGCCAGGAAGCTGTATGCTGTATTGCGAAATCTTTGCAGGAGATGTTTTAACTGCCTTCTTATTTATGTCCTCTATGCATTTAGGTGGTTCCTTTTGCATGCCTGTTCATTTGTTGACAGCACAGTATATAAAAAGAACATGGATGAACTTAAAAGCAGGTATTATGCAGCTTGTGGCTGACTTGACATATGACTGTCTTCAGATAACTCTGTTGTCTTGGCATGTTGCCTAATCACAAGTGATTAGGTTAGTTCTATGAGGAAACAGCCTCGTGAAGCTTTTGGAAAAAATGTTACTGATTTTCCATGCTTGATCCATTGCTGGAAAGAGTGGAACAGCATTACCTCGGATAGCCCACAGCTCTAACAGTGACCAGGTTCGTTATCAGTGCTAAGGAACTTGAACAAGTATGTCTTTTTTTAAAAAAAAAAAAAAAAAAAAAATTGTATCAAACCCAGGAAAAAAGTTAAACAAATAAAAACAATCTTTTTAGTACAGAAGTGGTTCTTTGTGCTTTATTAGACACCTTCCAGGCCCCCCAGGATTGTGATGTGAGGGGTAACTTACAGCCCTCTGCTTTAAGGGACTCAAATCACAACCCTCAGTCCACTTGGCATTGGCAGGACTAATGTGATAATCAACAAGAGATTTTTAGTGTCTGATAATTACTGATACATGTTATATAAATTCTGAGAAATTATGTTAAAGTTTGTTTTGCTGTGAAGAACGACCCTCACTGCAGGAACAGAAGATTAATGCTTCTCATGAATGTGTTAGGAGGCAGACAGTAGGAGGCCTTCCTTGGAGCAGTTCTTTGCATAGCTTCATGCTGAGGAGGAAAGTGAAGTATTACAGACTTTCTTTTTAGACTGCCATTTTTATCTGGAGGGAAGAAGCTGCCATAGAAAACCACATGCACTTAAAAAGATTCAGAAAAGCATACTGGGGTGGATATAATACACACTGAGTGCTAACACAGACTTCACAAGGCAACAAAACACAAATCACTATAAAAGTTATTCATGGTGCAGTTGTTCTTCACTCACTGAAGAACTCCAGGTTGTACTACACCCTAAAGTGCCATCATTTCGGAAAGCTTTATTTCAGCTTTGGGCGGGAAGTAGGGTGATGCTAATATAACCACTTTATAAACATCTGTCTGTCTTTAGGCAATTTAGTGTTCATTTCCCTTTCTCATTCCACCTTTTAAGTCCCTTTGGCAGAACACAGTTGCTGTTGTAGCGCTGCAGAAGCCATTCAAACAAAGGCTCAGAGTCCACGCTCTTCTCAGGAAGCAACATCTCACTCGGGATTTGTCAGTGGCTGCATTTTGTCCAGAGCTCACCCTCTGTCCTGCCAGTAGCCACATGGCCCTGCCCATGGGCAGGAGCCTCTGCAAGGTCTCGGTACAGGTGCTGTCCCCTAGGGCACCCCCTAAGTTACGTCACTGTCACTGGAGATGCTCTGTGCATGAGCCTGACCATCCAAACTGCTGCCGCCCGCTTGGCCGCCGTCTCCACAGAATACAACAGATACGGAATCGTGGGGATCTTCCTCGGCATAATTGTCCAACACCTCTAAAACAGGCATGCTAGGGTCCTTCAAATACTAGAAAAAACCAGAAACAACAGTTTAGATCCCCACAGAACAGGTGTAGCAGAAATGAGAGACAGAGCAGGTACCACCACCTCTAGGCAAGTTGCTTCAGACTGGAATTCACAGGGAGAGCTGCTAAATGTATATTCTGTTCTGGGTTTCCTTGAAACTACACTGAACAAGGAGAAATACCTTATTTTGGGGGTGGGAGGGGAATCAATCATGCAAATGTCCATTTAAGTGAGTTAAAACAACCTGCATTTCCTATTTTTTTTTTTTAATAAATTTTGGCTGACACTCTTTTCACGTCAGTTCAAGAAATTCCTACCAGTTAAGAACAAACCACAGAAGAAAACACTTTATTACACTGCTGGGGACATATCTTCCAACTGCAGGAATCTAGCAACTGACAGCTTGTCTAAAGCACTGATGGAACAAATGAGAGATACAGGATTCTGGTTTGTTCAGTGTCCGGCAAGTCAGATCTGCAGCTTACTGTTACCAGAAAACTCCAGCGGCATTCTTCTCTTGTACTTAATTTTTGCTTTGTCCTCCCCTCTGCTCCCCTTTCCTCCAAAATTAACTCATCAGCTTTACAAGTAATGCATAATCAAAGAAAGGAGCATTAGAAAAGAATGTAGGCCAGAGACAATGGTTTCTGTTCTTTTTGCCACCCCCATATAACTCTCATTATCACTAAGCTGAAGCTGATCTTCTGTTTCACAGGGAACTGGAGCCATCTACCACTTCATGTAGTGAACCAAAAAGGAAAAAAAGAAAAAAAAAGGAAGGTCTGCCATTGAACACTTTTTTCCTGATTTAAAAAAAAATTAAACATCTGGAGCCCAGACACCTTCACATTGTTAAAAGACTGACATAGCTTGTAGTTTTACTCAAAAGCTTGTTCAGTACTGTAGGAGGCGACAAAATCTGGCTGAGACAGGACCACAGCTCAAGTCACATCTGTTGAGGGATGAAACTGACCTTAATTTCAAGTAAGGCACCACTTTTCTCTGGAATCATAGCAAGACTAGTGAGCAACAGCATTATTTTTTCAGGTGTATTAAACCCAAATGTTTCATATGGGAACTTCAAATACATCCACTCCAGCAAATTCAAGACATAAAAGAACATCAGTTTGGCTTTGCTACATGAAGGATTTCTGCAGTAGAACTGCTCCCTATAACTCAGGCGCTGAAAGCTGAGATCTTTCCATAAAAGAAGGAAGCATGTGATTTTTCTGAAAAATCTAAAAGAATACATGTGAAACTGCCTTAAAATAATTGGTATTCTGTACTCATGGAAAGTGCTTGAAGGAAATGAACCTCAGGCTTGTTGATCCCGTTTAGAAACACACACTTTGAAAATTCTGCATATTTACTGTTTTTCCTTCATTTCTTATTAGTGTTTTGCCCAAAACCAGGCTCACCATTGTTCAAGAGTGTCTACTTTTGCTTTATATTTTCCAGATTATTACAATTATCCCAGAACACATGACAGACTTTATTCTTGCAAGTCCTTTGCATTAAATGCTGCCCTATTTTAGTACACTGTACAAGGATTTTTTTTCTCCCTACGTGAGATACACTTTGTTTAATATGATACAGCTGTCTCCACTGAACTCCCATGAAATGGTGGCTGAGGTAGCATGAAGAGAGAAAATCATGTACTCTGAACTCAGACTTTCTGCAGAGTCCTTTCACCCGTATGTCTGTAAAAATCTGGAAAAACAGCTCCACAACCACAAAACTACCATAGCACAATGGAATACACTGACATGCAGATATATACAAAGAAATATGCCTCAAAGAACTGCAAACAAATACAAGCTTTTAAAAATACAGAATGTATGCTGAACAAGAACTTTTAAATCAAGAACTTAAGAGGCTACTTCCTGTTTAAATACTAAAAGAGGAAGATAAACAGGACTGAGACAGTATCGTTTAGTACAGAAACGCGTGAGCTACAAGGAGAAAAAGTCCCAGGATGACTTTTTAATCTGAGTATTGCTAAACACACACAAAAAAAAAGAAAAAGCCCAAGACCATTCCCCTATGCAGTCATTAGTCTTCAAGTCAGTCCTTGTTCTTAAAACGATCTGTGTTTGCTTTTCCATATTTGATCTCTAATCAGAGACTTCAGACCTGAGTACATGTTCTGCAGCACACAAAAATTTTTTTCCTCAGGTGAGCAACTGTTTCAGGCCTGGGGACTTAGAAAAGCAAAGAAAGGGGTGGACAAGGGGTAGTCAAGGAACAGAGAATCTTACTCTGGTTTCATAACAGGATTGTAGCAGCATCTGTGTCTTAGTGCAGAGAAAAAAATAGTTCAGTTGAGTAAAAGAAAAATAAAGTGGGAGATCATATATGAGAAAAGTAGTAATTGTTCACTTTGTGAAAACTGTTTTTATCTATTTCTATTACGCAACAGCTAGCTTCATTCATATTCACTCGAAGATCATCACTCCCTTTTACAGAGGGAGGGGGAGAGCAGGGAGAAAAATAAAATGCCTACACATACCTCTTCAAAGTGCGATGGGATTTCTAAAGGTGGCTGAGACCAGTATTTAATTGTTTTCTGGTGCTTCCACAGAAGAAAAAAAACAAGTATTACCAGAATTACAAAAAGTGACACCAATGCAAATACTAGTATAATTTGTCCGTCTTTGGTTCTCTCTGAAAAAGGAAAAACAAACAAATCACCATATACATATGGTAGGTTCATATTTATGCACCATCAAATGTAAAACAATATGCAGCAAGCTGAAATTTACTATATTTGGTAATCAAAGTATAATTTCCAGGGCTAAGATCACACCTCTACTACAGATGCCCTCTAAACACCTGTGTTCAGCGGTAGCTTGTTTTACGACTCCACACGGAAGTCACCAGCTCCCACGAGCTTCTGCCCCTCAATCACGCAGCCCTGGGGAAGCTTCTGCTTGCCAGGCAAGCAGGGCAAACACAAAGCTGAAGGGTCGGGGCTGGTGGGAAGAGGGCAGGCGGGGAATGCAATCCATCCTTCCACCCTCAGGGTGTCAGCAAGGGCCATTAATGCCGGGGGCTTCTCTTTCAAAACCACACACCTCCCTTCAGCAAAGGGAGCGCCCCAGACGCTGGTGTGTCGGTGTCGCAGCTCAGGGGCTTGTGATCAAGAACTTGGCCAATCAATATTCCCCGGGAGGTCAGCTCCTGCGGGGCTTCATCTACACACCTCCCAGCGTGCTCAAAGCATGCTAAACATCGGTTGTGCCCCTGTGTCGGTGGCCAGATGGAGAGATTCGAGAGAGGGACAGACTCCGTTATCTTGCACATGCCCTCTCCTCCCCTCACCCTCTCCCTTATCTCGTACGAAAACATGCAGCTCAATGTCAGAGAAGGAAGCAGGTCCAAGAGGAGAGGGGGGTTCCTGTCCTGCCGGAGGCGGTGGCCAAGGGAGAGGATTTGCAAAAGTAACACCATCTCCTTCATTGATAACTTCCTCTAAACACCAGGTGCTTGTATTTTCTTTGCATATCTCTAGAAAGTAACAGCCATTGCAGTATTTGTGAAGGGAAAGGACAAGGGGAAGAGTACAACACAGACCCTCAATGACTGACTGAAAAATTCCTTATTATTTTGCCACTCACGACAATCGCGAACGACCATCAGTGGTGCTCCCTTAGCATTCCTGGGTATGTAAGTGGCCAGTTAATACCATTTAAGACTCAACATTCTACATTCATCCCATTAAATACAAAATAACAACAAAATTGGATTTATACCACTGACTGTAGTTCTGTAACACTCTGGGACACTTTGCTGTCCAAGTAACTGGAGATCTGAATGTGTCATCAATTCTACTTGAATTCTAAAACAATAAAGTGTCAATTCCTTTAGATTTATGATTTTGAATAGTGTATTTCTTCTCTTTATCTCCTGTTTAAAAGACACAAAACAAGAAAAGGTGTTACCATAAAAACCAGACCCATCTTCAACACAAATCCCCTCTCCATATTTAAGTTTCTTATTCAAAAAACATAGATTTTATTTTTCATAACTCAGCCTTCCCAAACAAGAGGCGCAGTGAAATACATTTCAACTTTTCTACTTGAATGCATTTGAAATGTCATTATTTTTTAATGAAATGAAGCCTGACCATTTAAAACCATCTATAAGGGCAGTAACAGCTGAGGCATGAAAACTGATGTAAGGTGTCATTTTATCCGCAATATGCCACTGGACGCTTTGATGCAGGTTCTGTAACAGCTCAGGCAGTGAGAGAGTGTAGGAAGGGGGAGGGAAAAACATGCCATTAGAAGTGCCTCCACCATCCGAGGAGGCTGACAGAATTGTAGTTCAGTGAGGAGCTTCCACCATCTCAGCTCCTTCTGATGAGGAGGAAACAGCTGACGGGCAGAGCAAAACCTCCACAGTCTCCACACGGTCACCATAGTCTTTGGGGAATTTTTAACCTGTAAGGGGCTAGGATAAGGGCCACGGTGAAGCCTACAGAAGCATACAAGAGTGACTTCTTGTCTGAAAATCAAACATGAAGGTATTTTATGTGTGTCAGAAAAATATACATTGCTGCAAGAGAGGAAGGAAGTGGAGGCGTTTCAGACTTAGCAAGGTCTTTGAAACAAAAGGGTTTTTAAAATAAATTTTTCTTCTGTTTCTTAAACATTTAACTTCAGACTGACACTCTTTTGAATCTTCTTCCTCTTTTTTTTTTTTTTAATGTAACTTAATCTCTCCCCTGCAACGCTGGCCTGTGAAGAACACAATTACCAGGGTCCCAGACAGCAGCATAAGCACATGAGACCAACACCTCTAAGTCTTGATACGAACAGGGACAGCTCATCCCAGCTGTGTCCGGCATGTTTCTAATAACTCTGCCTTCCTCTGCCCTAGGAACAGGCAACATCAGGCCAAAGCAGCCTATTACTGAAGCTGCCAGCACAAACAAGCCCAGCACAGGAAGGGCGGAAGGATATTTCAGAGTCTTCCAAACTGCCTAAGCAAACTTTGGAATTGAAATATCATTTTAAAGCCACCTTTGACACTTTGTGGATTCTCTCCCTTGGTCTGCAATGTGATTTAACCGTCGTTTCACATGGAGGAAGAAAAGATGGTTTTGAAAGTTTCGTAATACATGCAATACTCGTGCCAAGACCAAATTAACTTTTTTTTTTTTTTTCCCAAGACACCAAATGGTGACCTTCACTGCTAGAGAAAAAAATTACATTAGTGTTTTCTTCCTCCATTTCTGCTGTCTTGCCAAGAGATACTGACTCACATCTCTTAGTCACAAAGGCATTATGAACAAAAAATAAGAGAGAATTCTTACTTTTTTAGTAGTACTTGTTGCATTCTCCCAGTAGGACACATGATACTCAAGAAAGTCACCTGCTTCAGATCCAAAAGGAGGTGTGACACTAATGAGAAGTGAGTCAGAGCTTTCAATCACGCTGTTCACTTTAGGGGGCCCTATAGTAGCTGGAAATAAACACAGAAAGAGCAGTGAACCTCTGGGATGCAGAACAGATCACTATACTGTCTTCAGCTTTACTTCGGTAGTCTCAGTAAACATGCTAAATATTGACAGCTTTTTCTCAAGAAAATGAATACAACATATTCTCATCTACTTAATGCATTTAAGATAGCTACTTTATTACAAACCTATGGAAAAAGACTTGAAAGCATAAGTGAAACTAGGTAATTATAAAAAAAGTTTCCGGTTAACTTTTTCTGGAAATTTAGTAAATATTCACTAAAATGTATCTGAACTTATCTGCAGTTAAAGGTGATACAATTTTTTTGTTTTCTTCAAATAGCCACGTTCTCTAAAAAATATAAAAAAACACCTATTCCATGTTCTCTAAAAAATATGCTGTTTGGGTCAATAGATTAAAAGCAGAATAATTAGTTTCCCTAATGTCTCCATCTGTCCTATAGGGTAAAGATGATGACTCCCTTTTTTGAAGGACTCTGAGGTCTAAATCATGAAAAATTTTATATGAAGTACTGTCAGTCCTAATACAAGAGACTTGTGTGATCACAGGTCATATACAGTCATTGGTCATTTATCCTTTTTATCCTGACCTTTCACCAGTTAAGCTTATCAGCATTTGTAAGGCAATCTAGGATCTCAAAAAACCCACTCAGGCAAATATTATAGTAGTTAGCAGCTGCTTGCATACTAAAAAGGGGTAACTATTAAAAGTAAAAATCAATCCTTGCATGCAACGTTGCTTACTGTACCTCAAAAAAAAAAAAAAATCCAGCAGAGCCTGCTCTGTCCACTGTTACTTTAGAGAAAATTTGCCCCCAGGATCTTTATACTGATAGAGAAATTTCAGTTTCTATCTACTTCCTGTTGCTGTACAACTGCAAACAACTTGCTGTGTGCCCTCACAAATTCCCAAAGCTCCCCTCTCAAGTAGGACTGACCCAAACATTAAAGGAAGAGAACAGCCTGATTGAGTAGCCCATGGTCTTGGTCTCCAGGAACTGATCTCAAGGGCGGTCACACAAGAATGATGACATAATGCTCCTCTTGCTACCCCAAGGAACAGACACACAAACATCTCTCCCACACTGAGCCTCTCCTTTGTCTTCTATTCCCATTAGCCCAGTACTTTCCTAATTCCCAAAGGATCCCACTTCCAAACAATCCTGCATCATAAGCTATGGATGTGTCAGTTGCAATCTTCAACTCAAGATTCAGATAGTTCCTTGTCCCCACACTTTACTACTAGAGAAAAATCCAAGATTTAGAACTAAAGTCACCAGGGAAAGTATCATACTTTTTGCATCATGGACTACCACTGCTCCTCACAAGGTATGGAAGAACTTGAACCAAAGAGTGAATAAATTAATTCCTCTGCTTTGTTATCATTTGAGAGGTATTTTTAAACTCAATGTTTACTTACTTCTAATCCTGAAACCAAACACACCAAGGCAAAAGAGCAGATCTTACAAAACAATATGCTGTTCACACATTTAACAGGACTTAAAATGTGCCTTGACCCTTCTACACGGTAGTCAGGACAGTTTATATTTATTAGAAAAGGGATCTGTTCAAGAGAAACAGGTAGTTTGTACTCAGACTACCACAAATCAAGGGAGTGTACGTGTGCATGAGGCAGTGCTAAGTATGGAAAACTCTCTAACACACGTTCTTACAAGGTACAACCACCCAAGGAAACTCATCTCTTTCAATACCTGTTGAAAGAGCGCACTGCTGACCCCACCTCAGAAGAACTAAGTAGTATCAAATTCCTAGTGATACACAATGGCCTTGTAGCCTTTTTTAATGGAACACCTACAATTCTCTTGCTTGGCTTTTGTACAAAATAGTGTCAGAAAGGCTTAGAACAGCCAACAAACATTTTTTTCAAAGAAATCTCCTTTGTGGGAGAGACACTGAAACCATAAATAGCACTTACTGTTTCTCTCTGCCACAAATGGATCTGTTTCCACCCAGTCAGAAGTCACTTGCCCTAGCTCAGCCCTCACACGCAAAACAACAGTCCAGCGCCGTTCCTTAAGTGACAAGGGGAAACTGCATTCGGTCTGGGCAATACGGGTGCAGTTCATCTCATCCCACTGGTTAAAGGCCCCTCTGCAATGCAAAACAAAGGACAAAAAAAGCATCAGCAGAACAGCACAAATATCTGAAATACGACCCCTCCCACTGAGGCAATTTTTGTAAATACAGAGTACGTTACAAAACTGCCATTTTCACGTGAGTTTAACTCCACAGCCCTTTCAGCATCTGCATCTCCTCAATATCAGGGGAAAAAATAAAATTAGCGAGGCAGAATTAAGTAAGGCTAAAATGGAAAAAGAAAACTATGCAGCATTTCTGGGTGCTCTTCAGGTCTTCAATCTCTGCTCAGTTTAGTGGAAATACTACAGGCTAAGAGACTGTCTTCAGAGGCCACATCAATATATATATATAAAAGCATCTGTAATAGACAACTCATTCTTTCATTTGCTTATTAATTTTTAGCTTTTAAAAAAAAAAAAAAAAAAACAACAAAACTAATTGTGTTACTGGATTAGAACAAAACCAGTTTGGTTGGTTCCAGATCTATTTACTTACGTTTTAAAATGGACTGTGTATAACACCGAGCCTCTATCCACTTTCACAGGGGACCACCTCAGTGAACTACGAAAGTTATAGGAATAAACCATCACGTCCTTTGGTGCCGGTAAATGGGGAGAAGATTCTAAAGTAAGAAGAGGAATAAAAGTCACTATTAAAGCATTCAGGTATACAGTAACTAACTTTTGGTCTCCAGATTCCATCACCGTATGTTCTACTTTTACTGCTTTTCAGGCAAAACCACCCCTCCTCCTCATTCCATTTCTAGGCTCACTGGTAGCAGGACATTTAAGTCCCTGCTATCCAAAAAGCACTGAATTGTAACTTGCTGCTTTTATTTATTGCATACAAAACATAGCGTTGAAAGTACCAAGTCCAGCACAAAGCAACAAACCACACCAAGCTCTCATAAAGCTATAAATTAAGGTTTACTGCCACTTGCTCATCTATTTAAATTGTCTGCATCTCTCACATTTTATTTATTGTGTCAACTCCAAACATGTTTTTCCTGACCATCTGCCCCCTGCTAACTTGTTTGAAAACACAGGACACTTCACTGAAACTTTCCAGGAAACAGGTTAAAAATCCAGAGCTTTCCCATACTCAAACATTCACAAACACACAGAGCACTGTTCCACTTGCAAATCTGAAGTTTTGTCAATTTTGAAACTGATTTCACAATGTAGAAAAGGACAGAAACCTCCGTTAGAGGCATGACTTCTGCTGGTAGGAATGACCACCCAAATTCAGTCACGGTACAAACTCCTGGGGGTCAACAAAGACCGCAAGCGCTCTCGAGCAGCTTGTCAGGAGGCGAGCAGCACGGAAGCGGAGAGCCCAGAGTCGTGTTTCCAGTACGGGAGAAGAATCACTTCTCTGCTGGCCCCGGCGGAGCAGGGGAGGAATCTGTCCATCCACTGGGGCTGGAGCACGGCCAAGGGCCAGGCACCGAGCTGGGGATGGAGGGGTAGGAAAGCCAAGTGGAGGGATGGAAGGAGGGAGGGCAGCCGAGCAAAAGGCAGAGAACCAAAGGGCTTGGGAAATAGGGGCAGGTGAAGTAATGAAAGGCAGATGAGAAGGTAAGTGGCATAGCAGCTGGAGGGAGATGTTAGCTGGTAAACAGGGTGAAACGCCAGGCTGGAGAACCAAAAGACACTGAAAGACAAGGAGACCGACAGCCAGGAATTGGCATAGCCAAAAGAAAGAGACTAAGGTTACCACAAGTAGACTGAGGTGAGAAAGACAAGAAAATGCAGTTATCAAATGCCTTTAAGACCAGAAGAGCCTCCCTCTTTTAACCACAGCACTGCAGCCTCCCAGCACTGCGGGAGGGGCCCTTGGGAGGTCTCCAGCCCAAGCCCCTGCCCTGAGCAGGGCCAGCTCTGGCATAACACCTGGCTGCTCGGGGCTTTCTCCAGGCAGGTCCCAAACCTCCGAGGCCAGAGCCTGCACAGCCTTGCTGGGCAATGGCTTCACTGCCTGCCTGTCCTAAGAGGGAGAAAGGTTTTTCTTCTACAGTTGATTTGTATTTGTCTGTATAGAAATCCCCTTACACCATTAAACGTATTGGGTCAACAGGTCCTAAGCTCAAAGACAAAATGACACGATTATGACATCCTGCATGATAAGATTTCTGGTTTTTGTTCCTAAGAAAATGGTCTCCTAAGATACAGCTTGCTTACTTTTACATAAATAAGACCAGAAGATCAAGCACTTAAAACTAAATTCTGGATCTGGCCTTCTTTGGGAATATGGGGATGTTGTTAAAAAGTTTTTTTTTTTGATTTCTACATCTGATTTTGTTACACAGCACTAGACAGCAAACTGATTCTGACAGCATGAACTTCCAGAAAAGATGTCATGCCAGGCTCATAACATCCTCCACGTACAGGAAAGAGATGACAAGAATCTTCATAAAGTTGTGTTAAACCCCAAATCCAAAATAACTAGTTAAGCTCTCACAGTTGTAATTTAGGTATGCTACTAGTTTCTTAGCCTCAACTTTTGAGTAATGCTCTTAAGTAAACACATATTGCCTTGGGCTACAAATACATCATTCAGCATTGCAAACCCGTTTGAGATTCCTCACAGTTACAAACGATACCTAAAATATTAATCTCATGTATTTTAAAGGCTACTTAGTAACGTTTTCTTCATTCAAGAAAAGTTTTCACTTTCCAGTCACGCAGATTCTTTGTTGCACTCTCACTGCTGGTCTGGCATGCGGCAAGGTATCTCACACCATCAGTAATCTGTGCACTCAGACATCCGATACAAACTAATTTTACAAAATTCAAGAAAGCTATCAGAACAAAACATGAGCACTAGAATTTTTTTCTTCTCCCTCTCTTAAAAAAAAAAAAAAAAAAGAAAAGAAAAAGCAAAAGCAATGAAAGACAAGGGCAGCTAGTTTGTCTCCTCAATCAAGACTGCACACTGATTACTTTGCCTTCTATTAGCATTCAGAAACAAATCATTTCCACTACCAGCTTCAAAAACACTGAAATAATATCAAATCTATGGCTCTGTAGCTGAATATCAAGATGCTGTGGGCCACAAGGCACTTACTACTGCACTGAGGAGCTGTTTCTGTAGCACACTGAAGGAATGCATTCGTATTTCGGTTAGATATCACAACTTGACAAGGGAAGGTATTTAAATTTCTGAAATCACACAATGAACTCCATAACAATCATTAATTTGTATGACCTGAAGTAACAAAACGCACAATTCAGAAAAGAAACACCTATATATGCAAGTATCCTAGAAAAACCCAAACCACCTTAGCCAGGGAAGAGCAGAAATGCACAGTCCTTTCTCTCTGTTTGGAAGTTGGTCTCACTGAGCTGTTTCTCTTAAAGCACCTGCCAAACAATGCTCAAATTGTTTTTTCCTGACGCAGAGACTTCCTGACCCTTCAAGCCACAAGTCAAAGCTTTCACACAGCAGAGTGTGAAGCCACAAGTTACAGTGAGTGAAAGCAGCTCAGCTTGGCCTAGCCATCAGTTTCACAGCCTCCGGTCCTGCTCCTAAATGATTTCTGATCCCTTGCCCTGCATCAGCCTGAGAACATATTATTCTAAACTGGCAAAGAAGAAGTCTGGGTTGGATTGTTTGTTTGGTTTGTTGGTTTTTTGTTGTTTTTTTTTTTGGTTGGTTGTTTTTTTTAATGGACTTTCGCTGTTCTAATATACCAAACTGGCTTCTCATACTGTCAGACGAGCACCAAAGCCTGCAAAAGATTAATAGCAGAAGTGTGTGGTCAGGTGGGGATGGGTGATGACAGCTCGCTATTCTTTTGGCTCAGATTTTAATGTGTAGTGTCTCCAATGGCAACAGAAGTAACACAGCTAGCAGAGAGGGTGCAGAGGAGGAGGCAGCGGCCCTACGCACAATCTGGCCGCCACAGCTGCTCCCTGGGACAATCCCGCTGCTGCCGACGGGATGAGACGGGACAACGCTGACTGCAGCAGCTCCCCCCAGCTCACCTCAACCCACCCACGGGCATTTGGACTCCCGAGTCCAGCCATGAGTTGCAGGCCTGGAACAGCAGCTGCCCCTGGAGAGCCCCACAGGGCTCACCAGTCACAGGGTGGTCAGCCAGGGCTTCACGAACACGAGAGAACGTGCGAGCGGACGTGCCCAACTCAGGGGGGTACCCGCGTGCCCGAATAAGGACCACGCCATACTGGCGCCTCACTCAAGACGTGTCACGACAGCTCCCCCGCGCTTGCTAGGAGACTGAGGCAGGATCATACCCGGGAGCTACAGCTCAGACCTGACCCGAAGAGCAACCCCCCCTCGCCCGTTATGACAAAGCATTTACCTGGAAGTCAAAATCCAGCGCTACCCCCAAACTGTCAACTCACGAAATTAAACAGAGGAGGCTCGAGTACAGTTGATGAACGGGAGCCACATCGCAGACCACAGCTGCAACAGTGACTCGGACCCTTCAGGGCCGAACCCGTGCGGGTTTCGGCCGCTCGCCCACGGGCCCCACGCCACCCTGAGCCCGGCCTCGGAGCCAGCCCCGGGCCGGCGGCGGCCCAGACGACGGCAGACTTCCCAGGAGCAGCAACCCCGGGGTCGGCCGGAGAAACCGGGGCTCGTTCTCCATCCGATGGCCAGGCACCGGCGGGGCGAGGGCAGGGTGACACCCGCGGCAGCCCCGCTCTCCCCGCTGCGGCTCCGGCCCCCGCCGGGGCTGCTTCAAGGGACGGGCTAAGCGGCGCGGCCCCCCTGCCCCGCACCGGCCGCCTCCACGGCCCGGGCTCTCGCCCCACCGGCTTCCGCCGCCTCCCGGCCCGGAAGAGGCGCACGGAGAGGCGCAAATCGGACGGCAGCCTCCAGTCCCGCCGGCCGCGGCCGCAGCGAGCCCCGCGCCCCGCCGCACCCACCTGCGCCCCGGGCCCAGCCGAGGAGGAGGAAGAGGAGGAAAAGGAGGAGGAGGAGCGGCGCCCGGCACGGCATGGCCCGGCTGGCAGCGGCCCGCCGCCCGGCCCCGCTGGCCGCCAGAGGCTGCTCGCCGGTGCCGGAGGAGCGGCGGGGCCGGCGGCGGGCGGGCCTCGAGAGGCCGCCTCACTCGCATCCGCGGGCCCGGCCCCTGCGGCGGCTGCTGGCGCAGAGCGGGGGCGGCCGCCCCGGGCCCGCTCCGCCTCTACTCCCGCCTGCTGCGGGGGCAGAGCCCGCCCTCGGCCCCGCCTGCGGCGCCGCGGGGCCCGCTACGGGCCCCAGGGCCGGCCAGAGGCGCCGCCCGCTGAGGGCAGAGCCCGGCCCGGCGGGATGTGACGGGGGCCCCCGCCCGGCCGCGGCCTGCGGGGCTGGGGGGGCAGCGGCCGCGCCTTTGGCGTGCGGTCGGCAGCGGTAAATGTTGCCGTTAAGCGGTTCCGGTGCCCGGCTTTTCCCTGGCCGCGTTGTAGCGTTAACACACCGACCCGTGGTTAAGCCTGACCGTGTAGCTGATGCTGCTGAGGACACAATATTGTGATTAAAAAATCGGGAGGTGACGCCGGGGAGGCAGCGTTCCTCCCAGATGATTGCTATTTTAGTAGAACAATTGTTTTTAAATAATTCGCTAGGCAGGCACCTGTTGTTTTTAAGAGCTTTGACACTACTGAAGTTAAGAGCACCATAAATCAGAGGAGTATTTCATATATCTCCTGAACAGTCACAATTCTCTCTCTTAAACACTCCAGAGAGAAAAAAATGTTTTATTAGTACCGGATTGGGCAGTCAGCAGGACTGTCATCAGAGGAAACCATGCAGAGTTAGGATACTTAAAATGTCTCTAATTAATATTAATAAAGGTGATGTTTGGCCACCCAACGGCTCCCTGAGCAAAACTTACACTGCTGCCATCAGATTTCTGCCAAAAGGAAAGCAGGGAAGTACAGCAAGGGTATCTTGCGATCAGAGCTCTAGGTAAGGGCTGGACAGATTTGATTTCTAAGTAAGCTTGGATGAATCACTTGGTTTCACTGTAGTTCAGCTCTTCCTCAACCGAAAGAGAGATTCCTCCCTTCCTCTTAGCCCTGTATAGCCTGTTCTTCTCAACTGCAAGCTTATAGGGCAAAGATCCTCCTTTTGCAGGGAAGTACAGTAATAAAACAGTCCAGAAGCTCAGTCAAAGACTTTTAACAGTGACACAAATGATAAAAGCTAGAAAGGAGGAAAAACAAAGGAAGGGAAAAAAAGCAAATGCTGAAAAGCCGACTGGTTGGTTGGCTGTTGGAATATGATAGACTAGAAGGGGATGGCAGAGATTACAGTCATTCAACTATAGATTGAGCCAGTTTTCTCTGCACTTATCTGACCTCTTTTTGAACTCTTCTGGGAAGAGTGACTCAACTGACTCAGTCAAGCAGCACTGTTCTACTGAAACCCTTCACTCCACAGGCTTCACTCTTGGATTTCCCCAGTGCCAGGCCTGCGAGACACAAATCCTTTAATAAGGATGTCTAAAGCCAGTGGAGGAATTTTGGTCATGCACTGTTAACATGACTTGTGGAGCATTTCTAGTGGCAGGTAGCCAAGCAGATAGCTGGGAAAGCCACAACTATGCAACTTAAACAGCAAAATGACATGTCCAGAAGGTATGTTAATTTTCCTGGCATCTCTAATTCATGCATTAATGAGATTTTGATTGACAGAGGAAACTTGGGTATATTAAAGGGCAACTCAAAACATGAATTCTGAAGTGGGGTTTCCCTCTACCCTTGGACTGCAATTGTTAGAGAAATCCCATAACCAATCATGCGTGGTTTCCCTTTGTCAAATCAAACAGGAAATTTTTTCAAGCTTTTGGTTTTGGTCCAGCTGATCTCTCTCTTACCTTGAGCTTCCAATTAAGTCAAAGACCAAGAAGTTACTCTCTTACAGTCTAGCAGAGTGTTAGGAGGGAAGTCAAAATGACTGGTTGTGCCTTCATGAAAAAAGGTTAATGAAATAGGTGTTTTTTGCCACCAGTGGATGAGGGATGACTTCTTAAAACTGGCAGCTTAAGGAGAGTTGAGAGAGAACTGAGGAGAAATAGTGATTTAATGAAGATGGAGAGGAGAGAGAACTGGAGTCAGTGCAATATCTGATCCCATCAATTAGCTCCAAAAGAAAAAAAAATATTAATTAACCTAGGAAATCTGTAGAACCTTCAGGAGTTCAGAGTTAATTATGTATATTACTTTATTTTCTCTGAGCTTAGGGAGCAAACTGTCAAGTCAGAAAGTAAGGGATAGATAGTTTTTTCTTGCTGGTCCCTTCCTCTCACTAAAAGCTGATAAAGTGAAAGGTACCAAGTGAAGGTAGAAGGAAATACATTTCAGAGCAGAAATAGCTCCATTTATCACTGCAAGTTACAGGCTCTTGAAATCACTGAGAATTCTCATGTGTATAAAAAAGATAAAATTAATTATGGCACATAACTGCAATAGATTGACACAGTAAATAGTTTTGGGTGTATTTCACTAATGAAAACTGTTTACTACTCTAAAATCTCAGCCTTGACAGTTATTATAGATGGATGCTTGTGCTCACCCTGGTAAAACTGAGACCAACTCACCCATAAGAAGATAGCTAATCAATATCAAGGCAATAATTTTCCTGCAGCCAAATTTCTGGCACAGAATCTTGAAAAAAATTTGAATCCACAAAAGATAAGTAACTTCTCCAAAACTCACACATAGACAGAGGTGAAATGTCTCTGTCATAAGACTCAGGGACACATCATACATCAGGTAGTGATCTGTAGGTGCACAATTTTGGTACCACAGTTGTCTAAGAGGGAAATCAACCACCTTCCTTGTGTTTCTCCATTACCCATCTTCTAGGTGTCTCATGTAAAGAACCATGACTAACTCAGTTAAGAAACCAAAAAAAAGAAGAAGATAAAAAAGAAGAATCCTCCTCCCCCCCCCAGTTTGTAAACAAGCAAAAATTTTTAACAGGAACTGGAATTTATCTGTGGTATTTACTCTGTCAACGTCTTGAGTAGTATGAACTTACAGATCCTTGCAAGGTTTGTCATTAATGTGCAAGAAACAACACAAATGTACTGAGACAAAAAAGCCTGCTCCTATTCAAACTATACTTCAGGAATCCTTGAACAAATTAAAGACTAACTTTGACAAAAGCTAGCTCTTCAAACTCTTACTTCTTTACTTCCAACTCATGGTGTTTGCTGTTATGACTTTTAATCATTGTCCTGGAGAGAAATATAATTGAGTTGTTTGATACTGGCCTAACATTATTAAAAAAAAAAAAAAAAAAAAAAAAAAAATCTTACAGGAAAACCATACTTGTCTGTTTAGACACAAAATTTGTGCAAAATTTGCTATGGGTGCTCTACTGACTTGTGAGAGCAAGCTGGAATGATCTGGACCCTCAGCTGAAAACTGGGTCATTTTGGAAGTAGATGGAAGGGTGTTTAGTCATGTAAAGGGGCATCTCCAATTCAGCAATACATCTTGGTTCTTTTAAAAGTTCCACTCCCTCTGGGACTTTCAATAACTAAAAAGTTCTGGTCCCCAACACCTGACAGACTAAGCCTTTGGCAGCCCACTTCTATTCGCAAAGGGTTTGTAGTGGGAAACATCACTGCATAGTAAATGGAAGAAGACATCAAGCTCTTTATCTTCCCATGCTCTTATTCCCAACCTGCAAAGGCAGAGGTGCTACCATCAAATAGTTCAAAAGTTAAAAACAAATCACAAGATTTAAAAAATGCTCCTAATATCTTGATATTGGAGATAAAAATTATATTGCATTTTTGCATTCAGACATCCCGTATATACCACCCTCTGTCTTGGAATGTATTAGAGAGTGAACAAGTATTTTATCTAAGCACAAATGCATGGAAAGAGGTGGTTTGGGATGGTGCTAAAGAGCTGATAAATGTCTGTTTATTCTCTTTCTATTGTCCCTTGACACAGCCACCTAAGTCTTGGTTTCCCATGCAACATTCCCTTCCCTGCCAGTTGTTCTTTAGCACCCATAACTGTTCTGCTCTCCCAACTGCCTTCATGCTCCTCCAGCTGCTGCAGGATCCATTTCTGATGCTTGCTCTTGAAAAAGGTGAGGGAGAGAATGGAGAAAAGAATCCAAAACTGGGAAAGAGGAGCCAGGAAAGCAACTGGGAGAAAACACGTGCGCAAACTGCTGCACAGCCAGAGGGCACGGTGGCGTTTGGGCTACAGCGAGGCCTTCACTCAGGAGGAAATGCTGAGTAGAACAGACTTCACTCGGCAAGGAGACATGAGCACCCACAGCTACCAGCAATGCCTGGACCCTGCTCCAGCGTCAGAAGTGCTTGAGTTTGCATGGTGACCCTGCAGACCCCATATTCTGGTGACTCTGGCAGCGGGGGCCTGCGGAAGCCCGTGACAAGGTAGGCACATGGGCACAGGTTTTTCAGGCTAGCACCTTGAGGAGTCCAACCTCTCACCAGGTCTTTGCTGAGCCTGATATTTTTCATCATCTCTGAGGAATTAGCAACTCTGGCAATAAGGCGGGTGCATACTAGTTTGGGAATTCATTAGCTCAGAGTCACGGTGGAGGAAGGCTCTGCTGCTGACTAAAGGGGATTCTCACAGTGTTACACAACCAGAAAATGGCTGAATCATGTGGAATGAGGTTTTAAAGATCAGCCCTCTCCTCAGGGGAAAAACGTTACTTTATTTCTCTGAACTGTTCTGAGGTAAGTTTATAAAGTGAAAAAGAGAGTTAAGGAACTCAGGTCACACCAGTAGAGAGATTTGCTTTGTGCTTTGACTAGTATTTAATTGGAAATTTGGCACTGTTGTGCTTTGCATTTTGTCTTTGTAGCACAGGGAAGAGTTTTTAA